GATCGGATTTTTTTTGTTCTTATTTATGCATTTTTGGAGTGTTCATAGGTTTCTTAATATGTATTGCTAGCTGATCTTATTTCCAGACTGTGTATTTATGAGTTGAGCTGTCTGGATTTGCAGGGATACCCTATTTTCAGTCATGCCTATTACAAGAAACGCCGAGGTTCTTCATCTGACTTTAGGTTATTTTTAAGTGCTTATAAAAGTGTTTGGATTTGGGAATTTGTTGATTAAATGAGCTCTTATCCGCAGCCGGGGGCTCTAACCGGGCAGCAGCAGCAGCAGCAGCCGATATTTAATTTTTCCAGTGCTATTCCTATTAAGAAGAGAAGGTTCCCTGTAATCCGGTCACCATCTCCTCCTCCTCCAGAAGAAAATATATCGGGCAGCGAAATCATCAAGTCAAAGAACGAGAAAGAACTCAAGAGTTCCGAAAACAACGAATCGAAGAACAAGGAAGAACTCAAGATTTCCAAAAACGATGAATCGAAGAACCAGCAAGAATCCAAAATTCAAGATGAAGAAAAGCCATCTTTGATTGATGCAACAAATGCATCTTCTCCTGGGAATTCTGATGTGAGGAAGCCAGTTAGCCCCATTAATGCTGATTTGGGACAACCGAATGTGGAAAATCTTGCACGCATGCCGCACGAGGCGAAGCCCGCGGTTAACTTAAGCTCGGTTACTGAATTGGGCGCTGAAGTTGATATATTACCGAAAGAAAAATCTCCAGAACCTGAAGTTCCTGAAAGCTGTACGCATTCTCAAACTGTGAAAGTGAAGCAGGAAACTTTAAGTGTTCAGAATAATGAAGGCATATGCGGACTCGAACTATCAACAGCCTCAATGAGTGTTGAACTGTCACTAGGACCGAAAGAATCTGCTGTTCCTTCTCTGGAACATGAAAAAGATGAAGTTATCTGCAACAAACCCGGCAAGTCAGATCCTTCCTTGTTGATTTTGGCTTTGAGCAACAAAAATCCTGCTCAGCTTGGGACAATTGATTCTACTCTAAATGAGGTTAACAGTCAAGTCTCATATAATCGGTCAAACTGGGATTTGAACAAAACAATGGATGTTTGGGGAAGTATCAGGGGTAGTGATGCATTTGCGGATGCATTTGCTGATGTCGGTGGATATCGCAAGATGGATGACCTCCAATATGAGAAATCCTCTTTGACTACAGACGGAACAATTGGTGTGAGTTTGGATAAAGGAAAACGCAATCTGGATGTCAGTGGATTCAGTTCTTCCGACTCAACCATACAACAATTCAGCCAGCAATGCAAGACTGATGGTTCCCTCGGTCTTAGACTTGCTATGCCGCATAGGGAGATGGATGTTAGGAAAGAGTATTCTTCTTTATCAGATAACTCAGTCTCCACCAGTGATACTCGCAGTTTAGGTTTGCAACGGGAGCAAATATCGGCCGCAAACATGACCAGGCCTGTGAAATCAGAACCTGTTGATGAGAATACCAAACGTGACTGTAGTGTAGGTAGTAGTAGTAGCAGCTGTAATGTGACGGGGTTATTGAAGCTGAGTTCCGTGAAAACAGAATTTGTCAATAACCACAGAGTGGAATCTGTACTGCAGCCATCTGCTACTCCGAATACATTATTTTATTCTGGAAAATCAATGAAACCTGAAGGTGTTCATGAGGATAATCATCAGGTGTGCAAATCTGACGATATTACACTGCCTCAATTTTTTTCAAGGATGCAGAAGATACAAGAGAGCAGTCCATCTTCTTCTTTTCCTTTGGATACCTTGCCCTTGATGCCTCACAGTTTGTGTAGTTCAAGTTTGCCAGCTTGTACAGAGTCAATTCCAGTTCCAACTCGGGACTTGTCGACTCGTTTGGAACATTGTCAAGAGTTATCACCCAGCTGCCCTGATGACAAAATATCAAGGCCTAGTGATTTGGGGAACTTGAGTTCTGTAGATCATGTGGAGCACAAATTGGCTCGGGTAGATGAGGATACCTTTGAATTAGATGATGACGAAAAATTAAACGAACCAGCAAAAACGACTGAAGAAGAGAGTCTCAAGTCCGGCTGTGGGTCCCAGGGGATTTGCAATGTTAGTAACTCGATTGATAAAGGAGAAAACAAACACAGCAAGGAAGATGAAGAGTACGAGGATGGTGAGGTTCGAGAGCCAATTCAATGCCCAAATGTAGACAGACCGATCAACATTGAAAAGAAAATGGACAACTCTGAATATTTCAGGCATGATTCTCAAAATCTGCAGCCTTTGGGTGATCAAGACTTCATCAGTACATCTGAATCTGATGCAAATATTTCTGCGAAGAGAAATCACCAGGGTTCCTGTAACGACTCAAATGATGATAAAGCTGGTCCCAACGGTGAATATAACTTGTTAAATAAAGCATTAGAAGTGTTGGAGGCAGGACTAGATGAGAAGTATACCATAAATGTGACTCCAGATGAGCAGCTTCAAGATCTTCCTGCAAAAGAATTCTCCATCAGTGGACCAGCTGAGTTAGAGGATGCAGATAACTACGTTGTTAAAGAAACCTGCTCGGGGGAGGAGAACAATAATTCGAACTTGTTTAAAGCGGAAGCATCTTTGGACGCCCATGATGCTGCCAAAAATTCCACCAATGGAGGCAATAAGAGCCGCATAATTAATTTGTCTCGTGCTTCAGCTGTAACAAGTCCTTGCAAAACAAGATCCATTCCGAAAAGATTGGTGACGACAAGGAGTGGAAAAGAAAGGTATTCGGATCTTGATGGGGAGACTCAACTACGAGGAAATAGGTGATACATATTGTAATGGTTTCTTAGTTGTTTATTTCTCTTTTTCTTTTCTTAAGAGAACTGTAAGGTTCTGTTGCTTTGTGTTTCCTTTTCCAAAAATGTTACTTATATCTGTTTCATTTTCGTATTGTGCTTCACAGGGATGAATTCTACACGGGCAGCCCTAATAACAAATTCATAAAAGATCGGGCCCAGGATCAGGATCAGGATCGGCCACAGAGGAACCCACGATCGAGTTTCTCGAACAGGAGGGGGAGAATATCTAACCGCTTTGGCTCCTTACATGGTGACTGGGACATGCCGGATCATGAATTTGCATCAGAGGCTCCTTACGGCCCGTCCGATTACCGACACGTCAGGCACAAACACAAACACGCCTCTGATGTCGAGGTCGAATGCAACAACGGCTATGACATTCAACAAGACAACACTCCTCCTGATAGAAGGAAGCCAAAGAACGATGAATTCCCTTCATTACGCCGTACGTCCTTGAGGAGGAGACTCTCTCCTGGAGACAGAGAGAACCGAAACTTCCCCAGATTTCGAAATACGAGCCCAAACCGACACGGAGACAAATTCATGCGGCATTTATCATCGGATGACATCATCAATCCTGCTTACAGTAATAATCCACAAGTGATGTACGACGAGCTCGACGGGCAGCAGCAGCAGCTCGTGCGGAGGAACAGAAATTTTTCAAACATGCAGAGAAAAGGGTATTCACGAAACCACCGCTCGAAATCTCGAACGCGTTCGCCCGGACCGTGGTCATCTCCCCAAAACAGTCGCAGATCCCCAGTTTTTTACCGAACTGGGAGAATGAGATCGCCTGATCGTGCCTGTTTCCGTGATGAGATTGTTCCTAGGAGGCGTGGGTCCCCCTCGTACGGTCCTCGGAATAGGAGAGGTTCACCCGAACGGGCCTTCCCGAGGAGCGGCCGGAGAATGGACGGTATGGATTCTAGGGAGATGATGGGAGATTGTGATGAGGAGTACATGAACGGGTCGAGTAGTAAGTTCAACGAGAGGCGTGGGCCTGCCCGTTCGTTCCGGACAGGTTATAATAACGGCAACGGGGAGAATTTCCGTTTTCATCCAAACGAGGACCACCACAGGCCTTACCGATTCTGTTCCGATTCGGATGGAGAGTTTGTGGAGAGAGGTGGTGGTGGTATGAGAGACAGGGAGTTTGACGGGCGTGTAAAGAACCATCATCATCAGTCTTCTTTGGGTATGTCGAGGAGGATTAGGAATGTCGAGGAACACGAGGATGGGAATTACAGGTCCATCGAGCGAGTCTGGCATGATGATGGGTTTTCTGATGGTAGAGGAAAAAGAAGGAGATTCTGAGTTTGCCCACGACTCATTAGAAAGCTCGGGGAAAGAATCTTAGGGGAAGCTGAGGTTTTTGAAGGAAACATATATCCAGATGAGTAATGTGGTGAGCTTCTCTCAGATTCTTATGTGATGCTCAGAAACATTTTTCAATGACCATATATATATATATAACGATATCATGAATTGCAACATTTTAAGCTCACGAATCTCGACTAGAGGAGGTGAGTGGCGGATGCTCACAGTTTCTCTTTTTAAGCTTGTGTTACAATGTTGTGTTGTTGTATATACTTGGTTCGTCATAGAACTCCAATAATTAGTAGCATAAAGTGGCAGGGAGCCCTCGTGGAATGAAGTTCTCTGTACACACGGTATTTTAAGGATCTGATTTCTTAAGAAAGCCGCACTCTCTGGGCAGCTAACGGGTGCCTGTTTTAATGATTTGAGTTGAGTTATTGCAACATCTGCAAGTACTATTGCATATCGATTAGAGACAATGCTTTGGTCTTATTGCCTATTCCTTTGAATCTGCCAAATCAAATGTAGAGGACAAATGGTTATGAATGTATTTGGCTAGTGTAGTGCTCGTTGATTTTGTTCGTTTTGGTGAAGCGAACATGGTGCGATTTTGTGAACCTGGAGGCCACAAACGACTATGGCTTTGTGTTTAGTCGAGTATATTCTCCTCCCAAATGAGCATGAACACTCAACACGCTCTCTGGCATTATGAAAATGAACATTTCTTTTTGACAAGATTATGAAAATGAAGATTGGGTGAATATTCATCATTTGCTCCTACAGTTAAGGAAAAAAAGATATCCTCGACATATGCATATGCCTTAGGATTCGACCCGAGTCTGCTCGTTTGTGAAAGACGCTCCCTTTACCACATGGGCTAAAGCCTGTT